GAGCAGACATCATCAGGTCTAGTAGTGCCACTGTTGTGTTTGCAGACTCGGTCCCTGCGGGCTGTAGTGCTTCCAGAGAGAAGTGTTAAGCTTGGTCTCTCAGTTCCTTCCCCCTCACTGCTTGCATACCCATATGCAAATACAAACTCTGTTGTCTTTTCTGAGCACCTCTTGGTTCTGACACAAGAAAGATGTTGCCATTGATAGCTGCTTGTAAGGACTGTTGTTGCTGATTAATTTATAATTGCCTTAAATTTGCATTCTTGGCCAAAGAGAGGAGGAAATGCTTCCTCCTGTGAACTTGATACCTTATTGCTATTTTCAGTGTCTGAAAATACTCTGTTCTCACTGCATGCAATTGTTCCCAGACTTGGTGAAATGACTGTCACCCAGCTATCCAAGGCATTACCTTCTATGAAAGTGAGGGGAGCTAAGGGAAGTTAGCTTACAAGGGATATGACAGGATGTTTGGGGGATCTTGGTTTTGGTTTTCTGTTTTAACTGAGAGGGGTAAGTTGGGAGCTCTTACACACAAGCCAAGAAGAAACCATGATAACAGGACCAGATGAATCTAGTTTGACTACACAAAGTGTGTTTGAAAGTATAGTAATAAATTGGCAGCATCTTCACAGGAAAAAAAAAAGTAGGCCTAAAGTCTCTATAAGCAAGCAAGCTTCATCTCATCTCTGTTAACCAGGTATGAACACACTCAGACACTGTGGATTAAATATCTTTAAAATGTTTGTAACTATAAATCACTGTTTCTGTTTTTTTTCAAATGAAGTCACCCATCATGCCAGAATCCCAGGTTTGGACATGTCTGCCTTTGTCTTTTTCCTGTGCCTGCTCTCCTGAAGTGTTTGGGTTTGTTTGCCCTGAGACTGGTGGAAAATAACATCTTTGTAAAGTTTCCAAATGCTGGACACCTTTGTTACCTCTCACTTCCTTTCCTGAATTCAGAGTGGCTCTAGCTCTCACTGAGTGTTTTCAAAGCAAGGGATAGCTATATTCTGTTCTTCCAGATGTCTGAAGAAGCTTAAGGTATAGCTCAAAGCACCTGAGGTTGGCATTGGAAATTGGGGAATACCCATGGGGCAATTCAGAGCTGTGGTTTTTGGGTTATATAATTGAGTGCAGATACCATTCACAAGGTTCTTCAGTTGCTATTGTGTAGGTACCATAGACCTGCTCAGCATGTGTCTGGGATATCCTTTTTGCTTCCCAGGATGTTTCTAAAGCTTTGGCAGAAAATTCTAGCGTCTGATCTCTTTAGTAGGAATGCCAGGTGTGACTGCCTACAAAGGATGAACATAAGTGTGTAGGGAGAGTTGTGCTATGGGGGGAAAAAAAGCATGCACTGAAGGGGGGAGCTCTTCTACCTCTTCCCAGGAGGTCAGCTGTAGGTCTTTATTCTGCAGTGTAATATAAACTCTAATGTAAATACTGCAATTTCCTTGGCACAGAAAAGCAGGTGTCTTCCTTTGTCTAGTAGAGCTCCTCCCTTGTAAGACAGTTCTCCAAAGTGCCCAGCTATTTTATTTTTAGTTATTCTAAATCCACTTCAGACATGAGGTCTTGGTGTTTCTCAAGAGGTGATTAATGTTGAACACTTAATATTTTAGACCACTGATCAGTAATCTTAAGTCTTGAGTAAAAAGATTTAATTCAGTTCTGAAACACAGCAGTGGTCTGTTGCTTTTGATGAAAATCTGACCCTCCTTCCCCCATCACTTACATGGTGAGATTATCTGACCGCTTTAGGTCTTGTATGTGTCTCAAATTAAGTTCTTCCCATTGCCTTTCCCCTTCCTATTGAAGTAGGTGGACACTGGAGATGAGGCACATTGTCCTGACATGTACAGGTGTTGAAGACACAGTAGTGAGGAATTGAGTGGTAGAATTCCTTAATCTGAGAGGTGAGGTAACTGTGCTTACAGCTGTCTCTCATGGCAGCTGCTTGGCTTTGTGCTCTGGAAGGAGCTGCTGTTACCAGCAAACTGGACATGTGAGCGCACGCACACACCTCTTACTTAGGAATAGCTGGCTCCTCCTGTGTGGAGGAGGTGAAGTAGTGAACTATGTGTAGTATGTTGACTTCATTTCACATAACCAGGACAGCAGGAGAACTGTTCAGTTTACCCCCATGAAGGCAGTACAAGGCATTTCTTCCAAGAGGCATCTCAGATCGTTTGAACCAAGCAAGACCTGCCCATTAGCTGCCCTGCTTGTAACATAACACTGCAGTACTGGCTGGGCCTTTACACTTCTGCTTTTTAAAGAGATCAAGTCATGTGCTTTAATTTCTCTTCTGAAACCTTATGGTGCCATAGAAGGGAAAAGCAGAGTTAAACAGGCTGCCTTGCACACAGATGATTTAGTTCAGTGTGTTCACTGCAGTGAGTCATAGAAAGGAACAATTTGCTTCTGTGGTCAGTGAGAAGGTGAAAGGAAGCTGTGGAGCACATTAACCATAGAAACAGCTTCTAGTATGACTCATGCCATAAACAGCTTGGCAAAATGCAGCAAGAAGGTAAAACGTGTGAGACATGGTACTGTGAGCTGTTCACGCTGAAGACAGTAACTGGGGCCAAACACAAAGTGGCATTCAGTAACAGGCTGCAGGATTGCCAGGAAGGGTGTGGGAGAGGAGAGAGGAGGCCAACTTCTGCATCGTGGTGATTTCATGGGGTCATACTCACCACTGGGGGATGCTTATCAGTCGTAGGGCCTGGTAGGTGCACCTTATGGTACAGATGGATAGCTACCATCACCACCCAAAAAGGTTATATTCCAATGCAGGTGTCATCTGTGCCTGTGTATTAGCTGGTGCCAGCAGATTAGGCAGGAGGGGAGAGGGAAGGAAAGAAAGGAGGTGCCAAACTTCAGTATTTCTAGTAATAACCAGCTTAGTAAAAGCTTGGAAGACACTTCCTGCAGGTGGAAACAGCTTTGTGGGCACTCAGATGAGCTGAGTGATGTGACTGACACACCTGAAGGATGGGATGCCATCCAGAGGGACCTAGGCAAGCTTGAGAAGAGGGCCCATGGAAATCTCATGAGGTTTAACAAGATCAAGTATAACGTGCTGCGTCTGGACTGGGGCTACCCCTGGTATCAGCACAGGCTGGGGGATGAGCAGGTTGAGAGCAGCACTGTGGTGAAGGTCTTGGGGGTGTCAGTGGGTAAGAAGCTGGACGTGAGATGTCAATGTGCACTTGCAGCTCAAAATCTGCATCTAAAGCAGAGTGGCTAGCAGGTCAAGGGAAGTGATTCTGGTCCTCTGCTTTGCTCACCTGAGACCCCACCTGGACTGCTGCATCCAGCTCTGGGATCCTCAGCACAGGAAGGACACAGACCTGTTGGAGCAAGTCCAGAGGAGGGCCACCAAGATGATTGTAGCACCTATGAGGAAAGGCTAAGAGAACTGGGTTTGTTCCATCTGGAGAAGAGAAGGCTTCAGGGTGACATAACTGTGGCCTTCCAGTACCTGAAGGGAGCCTGGAAGAGAACTGGAGAGTATTTACAGGAACATGTAGTGATAGGACAGGGAGTAGCGGCTTCAAACTGAAAGAGAGTAGGTTTAGATTAGGTATTAGGAAGAAATTATTGAATGTGAGGGTGGTGAGGCACTGGAACAGTTTCCCCAGTGAAGTGGTGGATGTCCCATGTCTGAAGTGGTCAAGGGCCAGGTTGGATGAGACTGAGCAGCTTGGTCTAGTGCATGGTGTCCCTGCCTATGGCAGGGGGTTGGAACTAGATGATTTGTAAGGTGCCTTCCACTCTAAGTCATTCGATGATCCTGTGATTGCAAAACAAGGCTTTAAAGACCAGGAGGTAATCTACATCAAGGGAAATAATCTTTTTCTGTTTTCAGGACTGCAGTGCTTGTGGTGGTTATGTGTCTTGCAAAAACTGTTACTGCTTATGCATGCCAAAATGGTTGTTCACAACTGCTTTGAAGTAAAACTGCACCTGTCCTTTTTCATGTGATAGTCTTGACAGCTTCAAATGCCAAAATACACATGTCAGTAGCTTCACCTCAGACATTTAAGTGGTGTGACAAAGGGGGAGATCTAGTCACTGATTTACTTATGAATTTAAAACCAAGAGGATCCTGCAATCACAGTAACTCTTTTGTGCAATAAGCTCCTGAAGATGCAGCAAAGCAGTTCTGAACTTCTATTGAAGTGTGTGTTAATAGCTTCACTAATGTGCTCTATGTTTCCTTGCAGATGGTTCCACCAAGGCCCCAATCCCCATACTGGTACTCAGGACTGGCTTTATTCTGGCAACTACTGGGACAGAAACTACTTTAATTTGCCTGATATTTATTGAAATGCAGTAAGGAGCCTGTGACTGATACAAATAAGTCTTAATCCGTTTTAATGTTTTCCCTTGTTCTACTTATCTCCTGAAAATACTGACATGTTATCAAACAGAATATTAAGCATCTCCATAATAAATCTGGTGGTACATGATCTGCAGTCCTAGGGGTAGGGGAATAATTTTTCTGGCTGGCAGTGGGTCCTGTGTGGACAAATTAAGTCAACCATGGTTTCGAGCTGCCCTGATTGCTGAATACACCTATATTAGGTTGTGGTGTATGAGGAGTAGAACACCTTCAGCTGTTCTGTGAATACTTTATTTTGTAGATAACCTTGGCACAAGTAAAACTGGTTTTATTTATTGTGACATGGGAATGTTTAAAAGCACACACAGTAATTGCAATACTCTATTCTTAAATGAAGAAAGGAGAGTGTGTCACTTCTGTAAAGATGTAATTTTTCATAAAGTGACTTTTCTTTTACTAAAGTAATTCCCTTGAATCCTGAGCTCTGGTCAAGAGATTACAGAAGTGTTCCCATCTCTGGAGCATTAATGCAGTTGTTTAAGCTGGTAACATTACTCAGAGGTATTTATTCAATGTTTTGTGCAGTGTGTTTTGAATTTTGCTCTCCTGTTTTGCTACCAACCTTATGGTTTAAGGAATTAAGAGCCATTTTAATATCTACAGATCTGATTTGAACTGCATACTAGTAACAGGTTTTAAAGGAATCTGTTTCATGCACTAGAAGTTCCAGTGCTCAGCACCACTGCAAAAAGGCAAGAACCTAATCAGTCCAGGACCTGGTGGAACACGGTGGGGGCACAGGGCTGTGTCTGTACTGTGCAAACTCCCTGGGAGGAAGTCTTGTGCATTTCAAAGGTAGTACAGCACCTCAGTGAGGCCTCCTGTGCACAGCTGCTTTACCCCTTTTCAGTGGGGTGCATTCAATCTTAGAGTGTAAGTTTATATTGAACTGTGTACAGAGCTTCTAGAGGGCAAGCTGCTCTTTGTACAATATTTTAACTGCTGTCTGAAGGTTAGTGTTAATTGAATAATTTAATTGCTAATAAATAAAGGCTTCAAAACTTCTTGCTTCTAGTCTAAAGTGAGTGGTGTTTAACAGCACTGACCCTTCTGAGTAAGCCTAGTACAAAAGCTGTAGGAATGAAGATGGATAATGTGTTTGCCCTATGCTCCAGGGACCTCCTGTCTCCTAAGCAGGAACTGTCTTGTTATGGGGGATGGGGATGGCTGGGGAACTGAGAGCTTCCTGCAGCTTGAGCCTTCAGCACGGACTACTGAAACTGTTAATAAGGCAATGAGATGCTTTCTATTTTTATTCTAGGCACTACTCGAATTACCCAGGTCATGATGCTGAGATATATTTGCATAGATAAGGGAAAGCCTTTTCTTTGGCAGCCTTTCAGGTAAGGGCCCAGCTCTCACAGTGACCTGTAGATGCAGAAATTGAATACCTGCACTGGCTGTTGGAAGCCTCATCTCTGCACTCACACTGGGCCAGCAATTCACTGGACACTCACGGCTCAGAAAAACAAAGCCTTTAGTTCCTGCCTGCCCCCCACGCAGACACTGTATGTCAGCAGGGTGAAGACAGTGAAACAGCTGCAGCAGGTGTGTCAGCTAACACCAGGATCTTGTTCATAGGCATGCAGTTCTAGTTGCTGCCTTTGGGGTTAAGCATTTGCTTAACATTTTTAATTTATTACAATGTAAAAACTCCATTCCTCCTGACCTCTTCCTGAAGTCCGAACAGCCTCTCTTCTCAACTTGTCTAAAAAAATGACATGAACGCAGTAGAAACTGTGCAGCAACAACTATTGCTACCTGAATGCACTCTAAGGTGAGGGCATTTTGCCACATTCTATCAGACAAATACTGAAAGTTCAGGCTATGGCCAGGAAGATGTATGTTGTAAATACATGATTAAAAAGTTACTTCACACTAAAACCAGAGCAAGACCATTTGCCATCAGTGGGCACCTTCTGCAAACTCTTGCCTGCCTTGTTTGCCCTCAGGCGTGCAGCAGTCCAGAGGTGATAATATAAATACTTAAGCTTTACCTGACAAGACAAACTTGCTCAGCTAATCTCACTTGTGCTGTAGATTCTGCTCTGGCAGGGTGGCACATTAAATCATTTGCAGATGGACCTCATCTTGTAGCACTTGAGCCCTGGCCTGCATTTAATGGCTGCTCAATCTGTAACAAATAATCTGTCTGGTCTACACAGGGAATTATTATTTCCTTTGGAAACTGCTCTATAAAAGATGTATCCTCTGCATCCATAATCAGCTTGTCATTGCAACACAGGAGTACGACCTCACTGGTTCAAGTAATCTCAACTTTGTTGCAGGGAGGCACAAACTGTAATGGATCTTTAGGAGCAGGGGATGGTGGAGGAAAAGAAGGTGTTGGTGCTGGTTCTTCCCACAAGGGGACTGAGGAAGCTTGGAGTTATGTCATATGTTGAGATAACAGCCTGTTCATCTGAGGGCCCTGGTTCTCCAACAGTGGATTACTTGGCAGCTGGACCTGGTGATGTAACAATTCCATGATTAAACCTTTTCCATTAAGCACATCAGGTAAGCAAGCCACAAGACCACAGCTCCTCTTTGCAATACCTCAGAACTCTGGATTCATACAAGTTATTTTAAATGCACAGATGGTGACATTTTAGCTTCCTCAAGAAGAATCTTGATCAGTTGAACTGACAGCTCTTCAAGTGGAGAACAGGGTAAGACATTAACAAGTTTTAGGTACAGAGGAAAAAATGGCTTCTAGGTTACTATCAAGGAGGAACACAGAGTACATGTGGGATGAAGAGTCTTCTATCATGGTTAATAAAAGCCTCAGCCCTGGAAAAACCAGCACTGCAGCAGAGGAGAAGGTGAGTCTTTAATACATCATCATAGCTCAGCACTGAGCTGCTGTCTGAATGACACCAGGAATTATGAGAGGCATAATTCAAAACGTGACAGAGCAAAATCCTCTCTGAAAAAACATTATTCTGCCTGTCAGCCCAAGCCAGCTCAGACCCATTTATCATCTGTTAGTACTGGGCAATGCCACAGAATGGCAGGGCTGCCTTGCAACTGCACAAAGCAGCTGTCTCTGTACTGGTGGGTGCACAGCCAATCCCAAACAGCACGGTGGGTAGGAGACTCCAGAGGAAACCTTGCTTGAGCTTGCTGAGGAATTCCTGTGATCATCCCGTTTCATAACACGATTAGGGGACCACATAGTAGCAGATGGACAAAAGAGGACTTGCAATCAAGAGTGTGACCAGCCGAACCTACAGCACAGGCAGAGCCCTTCTGAGGAAGTGCCTTGGCAGAAACTCCAGTTTTCCTCACTAGCAGTAGGCAGCAAAACCAGACATTTCTTCCTGGCACAGGATGAGTGTAACTAACTGTTCCTCAGCCTCAGGTTATGATGCTGCACAACCTAATGCTGTAAGCTGTGGAAGGCAGAAAGGCTGTGGCCCCATCCCACCCCTCTGCCAGCTGTGGTGGAGCAGGTAGGTGCACACACCCATCCCCTGGTTACAGCATGGCCTTTTAAGACAGGTGATGTACAACACCCAAGGGATTTAACTGACAACAAACTGCAAAATACAGCATCTGAGAAACAATGTTCTGTGGTGGCCTCTGAGCTTCTGCCAGAGGACACTGCTGGGGACTGTAACCTATTCATCAACATCAGCTACACCCATGAAGGAACGAGATTATTCCTTAATAACGGCTGTGTTTGTACTGCAGAACCTTATGACTGCAAGGGCAGACATTAAAACAAACCTCACCAGCCCCAGGGAGACATTTACTTTCCAGTACACATTTTCAGTGGGTACACACAAGTTCATTTTCTGTTCCAATAAAACAAGCACAAAAAAAAGCTAACTATAGCACTGTAATTTCAAGGTTACCACCGTGTTTCTGAGGATCACAAAGGCAGGAAGATCATGGAGGCAAGACATGATCAAGAAGGACTCTGCTGTGGGAAAAAAGCTTTTCACCACCAACAATGCTACAGATGGACCTCCATCATAGTTGGAAAACCATCATCTACCTACCTGCCCATGCATTCGCAGATATCTGCTTCTCTACATAAACCTGAGAGGAATTCCAGCAGCACTGAAGACAAAACCTCGTGTCAGTGCTGCTAAAGCATTTAGAAAAACTGTAATAGTTTCTTTTAAAGACTACCATATTCCTAACAGAATACTCTGTCAATTTTGAGCGACCTATCACTTTCAAGTTTATCCATGGGAAAGTATGATAATGGTAGACTCACCACAAAATGCTTCTTCCTTAAAAGAATCCTTAGAAAGTAATTTCTCATTAAGAAAACTTCTCAGAGTATCTCTTCAGTCCTGGAGAGCGACAACACAGACCACAATATTAAAAATGTTAAATATGAATATGAAATTACTTATAAAATTAGGAAGAATAGCTTTCCTATAGAAAGTGTAAGATATATTTCAAGAATATATATATATAAGAATCAGAAAACATATCCTTTTTGGAGTAGGGATAATGACCTGAAGTTTAGATTTCTGTATGGAGAACATATGGAAGCAACAGGACTTCGTAGAGGCATTACACATACCTGGATGCAAAGGTGGTCATGTAGTTACTTCAAAACCATCAGTGAATACAGAGCAGAAGATAGATAGCTTGTAAATTTTCTTCTTTGGAAAATTTTCAGAACTCTACGTCTGCAAAGCTCTGCACAGCAAAAGCTTCAAAGATGCTTAAGTACAGATGTCATAAACCACAGAAAAATATTTTATCAGAGGTAAGAGAACAGAAGCATAAAACCTCCATAAATATTTTAAAAGGCTGCAGGCCCTAACATAAAATTGTGTCTGGCTGAAACCTGAGAGCAGCTATAGGAAAAAATATGTCTGGAAACTAATTTACTGTGCTAGAACTTGAATGCCTGTCTTGGAAGCCATCTACAATGTACCAGCTGCTTCACTGACACATGTCACCCTCTGGCCCCAAAGGGAAGAGCCTGTTGGCCTACCAGCTGTGTGCCCAACTGAGGTTATGTCATTACCTGGTTCTACCACCTTTTGCCCCATCTGCAGATCTAACAGCTCCCAGTGTCAAAGTCCTAGAAAATAGAGACTGGACAGAAGTTCAGAAAATCAAGGTCACAGATAAGCCATACTTTTCAACAAAAAAAAAGGATCAGGTCATTCATTAACTGGGAAGAACTCTATGTCCCAGCAGTACAGATATCTTTTTTTCCAATGCAGCAAATAGTGAAAGACTGTGAGGTCTTTGTTACATAAATGGTTTTACTCAGCAAAGTCTGACAATCTCTCCTGTCTCAAATCTTCAACTCAAGCTGGGTTTCTTTCTCTTAACCTCTTTCCACCTGGGCATCTCCTATAGGAAAGCACAGCTTGCCAAAAATGACTGATAAACACAGGACCAGCCAGTCCTGCTGAGCTTAACAGATCACTTGACTGGAACACCATCTTGGCATAGGTTACATCAAAAGATAAGCAGCATCTTGGAAAAAGCAGCAATGAAAAAATTTGGGGTAACAGTAAGACAGCTGAACATGAACTCCCCATGGCTAAAACACGCTGGTGGTTAAAACACAGGGGTTAAGTAGGTCATGAAAATCTTGGGTAATTAAGCAAAGAGGTTCTGAGCAGAAACAGGGAAGCAATATGCAACTCCCAACATGCACCTGCCTGGTAACCTATGCCAGGCCCAGCTGTGGGGTCCAAACATACATTATACAAAAAACCCCAAGTGGCCAGAAATAGAAATAATTCACCATTTAATCCTGGCAAACCTGCCTCAAGTGGAATTTCTGAATGTCTGGTAGGACACAGGGGTGGGGTGAGGGAAAGGGGTGGCGAGCAGGAATAATACTTAATTTCCTGACAATGGCACACTTTTATAAGCATTTAACTGAACAAGTTTTGAAGTTCAGGGAAAATACAGATCTGCAACACAGTGACAAAGTTAGGCCTTTTGTAAAAGAACCCAATCTTTTTCTCCAGTGCATCTTATCCACTACCTGAGTTCACATGAGAATGTGCTTTGACATACATTAAGAGAAATGTATATAGATAGAGATAACTCAGTGTAGAAAGAGCAGGTTCTCATGCTTTATGAATCTCTGCACAGAATACCATATTTTACTTGTTCTTTGATCAAAAGGAACCAGAACTGGAACTTGCCTGCATATTTCCATCTGCTCTAAGTCAAGGTTTCCAGATAAAAGCCATTTTTGAAGCAGTATTTTCTGGTTCACCTCAAAACATTAGAATGCAAGACAATATTGTATAAACACCTACTCAAACTGTAATTAGCAGAGAAACAATTACCTTTCCTGCCTTTTTTTCCTAAACTCCTAATTTATAGAAAACCATTTGTCCTTCAGCTCCTTCAGGATGAAGGATCAGAGTCAACATACCTGTACTTCTTACTCCTAAATTTCAGTAGAGTCTGAGTCTATTGCTCCTAAATTTCAGTTTACCCTTGTGCTCTAGGCTGCCTGCAGAGACCTCCTGGCAGATGCTGCTGGCTGTCCAATTGCCTTAAAAGACAGACAAGCATAAATTTCCTTAAGGTTAGCTTTAGCAATGCTTGTTTGGGATTGTGTAACTTCTCATGAAAGTGCTTCCTACCACTGTTAGTATTTTGTAATGATTACTGGAAAGGGAATTTGAGTGCTCTTCATAGGCCACTCTGCTTTCACCCCAGTGCAAGGTTCGATCAGCACCACACACAGCCCTACACCAACCCAACACTTGCTCCTGTTCAACCTTCAAGCAGGTACATAACTTTTAAACACGAGAACAATCAATTGTTGGAAAGACAATCACATTGTTGCACATCGAAAAGCAATTCAATACAGCATTTGGGGGATTTTATTTAAGAGTAAAGCATAACTAGAATATGAAACAAGCATTCAAAGTCAGAAAGAGAAGAAATTAAAGTGCTTGCTTTAGAGTAAATTAGAAACACTTTTCAAAGGTGTAAGAATACAACAAATACAATTGTATATGGTTCTTTAATGAAGAATAAAGTGAATTTGATGTCTTAAAAATGTATTTTAAACCTTGTTCACACTATGGTTGAGCTCAGCACGACATGTAACTCACTTTCTAAACCAAGAGACTATAATTACTCTGGAAGAACAAAGGCTGGAGGTAATTGTTGATCAGAAAACTTTGTTACAGAGTCACTTGACATCCCAGAAGTTTTCCCAATACTTGGTATCATCTTGTTCAGGAGGCCACCAATTAAAAGACAAACTCAAGGAGCAAAGGAACAAAACTCATGTCCACGTTTCTTTTAATTTTACTCAGAAATAGAAAAGTGCAAGTTCTGTAAATTAACAACATTTACAGTACATCACAATAAATATGCCACACCTTGTGACATCTAAAAATTCTAGTTTACTATTTGCAATGAGTCAGATTGAGATTAAAAACTGCATCAACATCAACAAAAAATACCTGTCCCAGTAAAGATGGCCTTAACATATTAACTAGCAAGATGCATATTCCATTATTGCTATTAGACCATGCCTCCGAGTTTCAAAGTATAAAAACTTAACAGTTTACACAAAGTAACATTGAATTTTTCCTCATCATAGGCACAATCTAACATAAAAAATACTTTTGCCACTTACAGTGTAGGAGAGTCTCCTACGAGGAGAGGGGAAAAAATGATGAATACAGAAACAGATAGTCGTGATGATTTGCTAAGCCCACAGAAAAGCTGCAATTTGCACAGAGTTATTAAACTGTTACATGAATATATAGTGTCTTTCCATACCCACTCCTGGCCTGGAGGACAAGAGGCCTTTTAGTAAATGTACTACAATTTGCTAGCTACCTCCAAGTATGCAGACCCTAAACAGCCCAACAGAAATCGCATGCAGGTGCTTTGTGCCCTCAACAGGCAAGGCTCATACCATATTTAAGGAGTGTATTGAAAAGTCAGTAAATGTACCGTTTCCAGCTATTCACCCAGAACAGACTGTGTCTCTGATTGCAAAACATTAAAAGTCAGATAGGACAAAATAAGATTCCAAGTACATTAAAGCCCATTTTTAAAATAATTATTTGAACTCTAAGCAGTCACTATATACACAATATATTTTCTAGTCAATACTTACTTGGATTGACCAAATAAGGCTGAACACTCATTTACAACTCATTACTACTGTCAAAGTTGAGTAAAAAAAGCCCAGTGGACTATCTGCAGCACACCTAGATTATACAAAAATAAAACTGTTTTTCTTTAGGATTCCCTCCTCTCCTTCAGGAACTGCAACAGAAGTGTTTAACTGCTCTAGGAATGCCTTTCATAGCAGAACTGTGTATTTGTAGAGAGAAATAGAAGTGTCTCAACCATTTCATTTGGCCTACCAAACAGGACATTACTTTTCTCCTCCATATCAGTCTTGCTTTAGACGTAACCTCAAAAGCAAATCAATGAAGGTTAGGTGTGGGCAAGGTCTAAAACTTTGGCAACATACTCTGCAAAAAGGTAAGAAGAAAGAAAAAAGCTTAAGCTAAGGAACTGTTTAAGGCAACCTGACCAAAGTAAAGATAAGGCTTTTGGATAACTATTTCCAAGGACATCCAGTTTTCTTAGCTTTGCAAAGTAACATAATCAGCTAACTTTCTGGCCAGATTTGCATTCATCAGCTTCTTTACAAAATATTTACCTTCCTAGAATAGGAACAGAAAACATAAGGAAGTACTACGTATTACAGACAAAAGTGAAAAAAAAAGCTACAGATAAGCACACAGATGGCCAAGTATTGAAAATTATATGGTCATGACAAAAGTTTTAAGCTCTCTGAGGTATTTCAGTATCTTAACACCATGGGTTTGAAATACCATACAGGGATTTAAGGTATCATAGTATTGGTGTAACTACCAAAGTAGATTTGTGGGTTTGTATTTTGTTGGGTTGGAATTTTTTTTCAATACCTTTAAAGGTCATTGCTATAAACATTCAGCAGCTTGAAGGAAAAATATGCAAAATTACTGTATTTGGCCTATGTACTTTAATAAAATATTCCGAATATTAAGAGCAGAAGTAAGAACTGCCCATGCTGTAACTGCATGTCAGAGTCTTTGGCTAGAGGGTACCAGAAGCAGAGATCCTAAATATTGACATCATTTATATCACAAATATGAGCTGGGCTGGGAGGGAAGGGATGAAGAATGGAAGGGGATGAGAGGTTTAAAATTCACACATTAGTCATCATGAGGTAACCGACATAAGCCACTAAAATTTCGTAAGATCTGCTTTTTGTGGCTGAACAGTTTTCCTCCTCCTGTGTATTGGCTAATAATTAAAGAAAAAGAAGTGCTCTGACCATTTTCTACTGCAGTATTTACACCAATTACTTTTATTGTATTCTAATCAAACCCAAAGTGCTCCCCTTGGCATATTTTGGATCTAGATCTGTTTTGAAAGGTAAAAATCACACTTGCCAATATTGTTGAAGGAAATCGTGTGCTTATTCAGGCTCACGCACAGAGTTACAAGCAATTATGTTCATCTTGGTTCAAACAAAATAAAAACGGAAGAGTTAAAAACACAAGGTCACTTAACCTTCTTCCTGGTTGACTTACCTTCAGTTAAAACTGTAATATTTTTACTAAGCCATACCAACTCTGACCATACTAGGAAAGTGTCTCTGGCACAAGTGGTTTTCAGAAGAAAAGCTGGTCTTCCCAACAGCTTTTTCTTCTGCTTCATCTTAAAGTGCAGAAACTGTGGGAAAGGATAACAAGACTTCCTGTTCATCACTGTGGAACTACTTCCCTCAGAGAGGCTAAGGCTGCGTGTATGCGGACGTGCAATCTGTTCTCAAAGTCATAGCCAGCAAATTCCTCCTGGGGGGGAAAAAAAAGCAGGAAAAAAACCCCAAACATGTAACTGTTAGCCTCCTTCACTTTAGGATATGAAGATAATTTTGCTACTAATGCTTAAGAAGTCATGTTATGAAAGAGTCCACAGGAAAGTTAAAGATTGCAACATGCAATCTCCCCACACTACCCAAAGCAAAAGAATTATTACAGAAATTGCAAGTTGGTGAAGAGAGCAAATTGGAACCCATATACTTGATTAGCACTCAAAAGGTTCTACGAATCCAAAAGCTCTAGAAAATCCCAACACGCCCAAGGCAGGAGCCATTTGGAACAGACAGGGAGTGGAGAGTTGTCATTTTCAAAATTTCTGTAGCCAAATCTTAGTTGAAAATCTTCACCGTGCTCTAACACTGCAGGAAAGGTCACTGATGTGGGCTCTGTGCTATAACTGACCTAAGAATACAAACCTATGCAACATACATAAATGTGTATCACATACATTAATGCATATCTACATGATAGTGTTGTAGATTATAGGTGAGGGACACCACCACTTAACACCCGCTCCCCCTGCCCCAAACCTCCCAAATGCCCTCATCTCAGAAAGCTGAATTTGAAAGTATCTTAGTTTTTACCTTGGCTTGGAGCAGTAAGGTTTTGCCTCTTGGCACAGTCTACAAAAAGACAAACATTGCATTGGAAACACGTCACAAACATTACAGAAAGTATCTTAGGTAAATGAACTGGTCAGGCCAGAGTAGCATCTCTATCTTGAAATAAGGTATCTTGAAATAAGGTAAGAGTAGACAGAACCCTCTCAAATTAGGAAACCAGAAATACTAGTGAGGCACCCAAGACAAACAGCATTATGTATTTCTAGTCTTCTACAGAAAAGGAGAAATTACAGCTTTGAACATAAGTTGCTGCCAATGATGGTGAGCAACAACAATGCATAGGGAAATAAAAGAGGCTACAGATACTCCCTCTCCACGAGAGGGAGTTTCCTGCACATCCTTCACATTCTGAGTGCTACCATAGCTTCTCCGTACAGCTCCAAGCTGAGGCTTGTCGGACCCCAAACACCCAACGTGAGGCACACTCGGTTACTGTGTGCACATACTACACGTAAAGCAGGAGGAAGATTGCTCCCACAGTCCCAACATCTCAGGAAGTTCACTACCCACCATTTATTTTTTTCAGACACACCTGGCACAATCAAATTTAAACATGAACATGGAAAGAAAGGCAGCAGGAACATAACGGGACTCAGAACTCCCTTCCAGGCTTCGAGGACCAGTTCTAAGTCTTAAGGCAACAGAGTTTGCAAAAAGAACACTTATTTTTAAAAGCATTTTCTAGTTCTGTCCTTTGCCATGATAATCATTCTTACTGAAAGATTTTCCTCTCCTTCCCTCTTCAAGGGGAAGGTTTAGCTCAGGTGATTAAACCTGAAAACATCAAAAAGAACTGAAAACAGAATCTTAAGAATATGAGATGCTTATCAGCCCAACTACTTCATACACTCCATACAATGAAGAGAAGGCTCAAGTCACTACCCTGTAACCACTTCCCCTAACTTGCCTTCTGATGAAGGATGAACTACACAAAGTGGCATAAACTCCAGATAGTGGTGTTAGACGTTTGAGGAGGGAAACTGCACCAAGAGTGCAGCACAAATTGCCCTAGATTCTCTGGGCTCCCTAGGAGGCAGGATACGTGCAAAGACCTGAATGATCAGATCATCAGCCAAGCCATTTGGACAGTTTGAAAACCAGGTGGACTATTTTCCTCTTCATCCTGGACAACAAAACCCTCGCTACTCAGGATGAAAGTCAAAATGCCCACACAACCAGCTTTAAAGGAATTTAAATGACTGAAAACACTTGCTATTTTAGAAAGGCATCAAGTTCCACTTGGAGAGGAAAGGTTAACTTTGAGCTTGAATGTTATCCAACAGGTAAGAAAAGGACCCTATGCATCCACCACACTAAATATCACCGGCAGACAACAAACCTCTGCCTACCCAAGGCATACTGGCCAGGCCTCTTTCGCCACCAGCAGCAGGAACACTCTCCATGTCGAAAAAATAAGACACTTGGCTAAAATGCTTTCCATCTCTCGGATTGAAAAATACTCCAAAGTAGTAAGTTTCTTTACAGTAGGTATAAAATTCTTAAAACTTAACATACACTATCACCTATAAACTTTGTTTCATTGCTTGTACAGTGGTATGTTGACTCCTTACAGTAATTTTAGGAGTGTAAAAATAGGTCATGCTATTACCTCTGGATTGTCTAACAGAATACAGCCCAGTTCATAGCAAGCATATGGCTGGACATATAAGTTGCTTTGACGGCAGAGTTCATCTTTAGCAGCTCGCTGAAAGTACTGTAAAAATTGAAGAGAAAAAAGAAACAGAAGAGTGCAGTAAAACACTGACTGTTTGATACTTCAAAGCACCATTCCACTTTAAGCACTACAAATTAGCCAAAGCTAAAATGAGAATATATTAAAATTTTCCAGTGTACAGACTCCTAGATGTTTTTACCAATATTACCATATCAAGGGAAAATTATTTGTTTGGATTATTACCAAGTGATATATTGACTGTTCCAAGAGTTTTCCAACTTCATATTGAAAAAAAATTAGCTGTAACAAGGAACTTTAACATCAGAGATGAAACACCCAGATTATTTGAGATATGCAGGGGGAGGGGGGAATTTAAAGTCAGCATCTTGCTGCTTATGTGAATTGCTTTCTATTCTGGGAGAGAAAAAGGAGAGTTTGTGCCTACAGATCATAAAACCTGCAACAATGGCAAAATTATTCTTTGGTATGTACTAACAATCAAACCCTCAAGTGTCTAATAGGTCTGGAGGAGCAGCAGCAAACCTGTGCTCTCAAAAGGTCAACCTCCAAGTTCCTTTTTTTAAAAAGGTTAATTTTCTTTGTTGGACAAAGTTCTTGCAGATCAAGAACTTCTGTTATTCTTCCCAGCTTCCCTGTAACTCTTGTTACTACAAGCACTTTAGCTGCCATGTCAACATAGCCAATTAATTTTACAACACAATATAATAAAGACATGTTAAACCAGCAGATTTTAAAAGAACCTCTGTTGGAATTCACAAACCAGAACGATCAACAGCACTGAACACTAATGACTTGCTTAACACTCTTACTGAGCAGTATTTACTGTTTAACAGAGGAGCTCATAAAATAGAATTAATGGTACAAATTACCATTTAACAACTTACCTGAACAGCATCTTCAGAATTTCCTAAGCATTTGTGTATGGCACCAAGAAGCAAATTCCTCAAACCAACAGCTGATGAATCATCAACATCCTGACAAGCTTAATGAAAAGATTCCAGTAAACAAACAAGATGGATTGAAATCCTTCTTTAGACAAGAATTGTGGTCTACAGTGTCTTTTAGTCTGATGTTTAACTGGATAAAGGAGATGCTTTATACTGACATTACTAGCAAAGTTTTTTGTTTGCTTTTAAATACAACCCATTTTGTATGAGCCTTGTCAAGAAATCTGTTACTCGAGAGCAATTCCTAACAGGAATGAATGGGCTAATGTCAAAGGCAGTTGGTGTGTTCTCACAAGAAGAGGAGAATCCATTTCTCTACTGGTCTTTGAAATATCCACAAAAAGGCAAAGTTAAGAAACAATCATCTCCTTCTGGTGTTACGGGAAACTGGTTTGTCCCACATACTGAAAGAAAAATACATTCCAAGTAACAAGGAGCACAGAGAAAATAGTTCAGACAACCTGATTTCTTCTGAACTGAAGCCAAGTGACAGATGCACAAAAATCTGTACTGGACTTAAAATCCAGACTAGGATGTTTTGGCATCACAAATTCTCAGTGATGATGAGAGGATAAGGCTTATTTGTCAGACCTTAGCTGGTCCACAATCCAGGGACAAACTGTCCCTCAGCTGAGCAGTACTCTGTTTCCAGGAAAAATTGCATGACAATGCATAAAACTGCTTCTAGATGAATCAGGCTCCATTTTGGTCAAGCTAATTAGTGCCAGTTCTGTTAAACCGAAGTTACTTCCATGAGGAGCAGGAGCCATTTGCACTTGTCTGCACCGTCACCCCCAGGAAGGTGAGGGTACAGGGACACCCGCAAGGATTTTTATCTGGTAACTCCTGTGTCTGGAGCAGTACAGCTCCTTAAACATTTTGCCTCATCACATAAACCATGCCAGATCTTGATCAGCTCTGCATTCACAATACAGTTAATCCACAATCCAAATAAGCTGCCTATGGATAACTAAGAGTTGGCTGCATGAAGTATTTGGGCTGTCAACTCTCGCTTGCATTGCAAGCCTCACATTACTTGGCATTTTACTTACAGAGATACAGGTGGATACAAATTAATTCCTTTAAGTCAACTTCTAGCCCTGAGGAAAAGCCTGGAAATTCACCCCAGCAAATTACAATCCAATTGCTCAAGCAAAGAGGAAACAAATTTTTTTAAAAAAATATCTCCTATCATCCATGTCCTTGATGATAAGGTGCAGCAGTAACTCTCATTGCACAGAAAATCTTCAGCTAGGGGTGGCTGATGCAAACACATCTGTCAGTGTCATACTTACAAGAAGCTTATCTCTGAATTTTAATCTATACTGCTATTTCACATTAAAATGTGAACCACTGACTAGAAGCTTATACAAGGGAGATCTACACAGCTTCTGAGCATGCAGGAAAGAATACATACTCTTGACACCCTCTAAAGCTGACTGTTCTGAAGGCAAATGACAGCCAAAATAATCCTCAAACTTGTTTTTATGTAAGTAAATCTGTTTTTAAAGCCTTCACCATTATCTTTGTGACTAAAAAGATAGGGACCTGAACATAACCCACTGCCATCATACAATTTAAATGGAAAAATTATCTTACATTAGTACCAGAACAGAACACCACTACTAGTCCTGACTCTCAAGTTCAAGACTGGTAATTTTCCAGCTTAATATGGCAATTGTGTACATCCCCAAAATCGCATAATTTAAAAATAAAAAAATAAAATAAAGGCAACCCTGTGGCAGCGAATTTTTGTTTTATTTTCTACATGAGCAAGGAACAGTCACAGAATGTTAGAATGGTTTGGATTGGAATGCACCTTAAAGACAATGTAGTTCCAATCCCTTGCCATGGGCAGAGACACCTTCCACTAGACAAGGTTGCTCACAGCCTTGAACATTTCCAGGGATGGGACGTTTACAACTTCCCTTGGCAACCTGTGCCAGTGCCTCACCACACTCACAGTAATTTCTTCCTAGTATCCAATCTACACCTGAACTCTTAGTTTAAAGCCATTCCACCGTGTCCTATCACTACATGCCCTTGTAAAAAGTCCCTCTCCAGCTCTCTTTGCAGGTGCCCTTTAGGTACTGGAAGGTGTTCCAAGGTCTTCTCTTCTCCAGGCTGAACAGCCCTAACTCTCTCAGCCTGCCTTCATAGGGGAGGTGTTCCATCCCTCTGATCATCTACAGTTCCCTTCTCTGGACCTGTGTTCCAACAAGTCCATATCTTTCCTGAGGACCGGACCCCAGCACAGTATGCAGTACTCCAGGTGGGATCTCACAAGAGCAGAGCAGAGGGGCAGAATCACCTCCCTTGACCTTCACGCTCCTTTTGATGCAGCCCAGGATGCCGTTGGCCTTCTGGGCTGCGCGCGCACATTGACAGCTCATGTTGAGCTTCTTGTCAACCAACCTGAACTGTTCGCAGAATGCAAATATGACTGATTGCTGGATGGAGGGAGAAGTACTGAAAACCTCATGATAAACACTACTAGCACAAGCTTCACATGACAGACATCTGGAGACTAAGAAAGAGGCAACCATTCAGCACTAAGAAGGTCCCAGCAGCCAAGATAAACAGAAACCCTATCATGTCACACATGACCTCCTCTTAGAAGAAACTTAGGAGTTTCATTTTTTTATTTTGTAGCTAGGTTTAAATGAGTTAAGTTTTGCTTAGTGACTTGGAACAGTAACTACCATGGTATTGTTTCACTTGAAACAATGATTAATGACCAGCCATATGCAGCAGGCACTTAAAACTTCCCCCAAAACCCTGTCAAAATGAAGCATTAAGCCAAAATGTAATGGGTCATTTTTCTTTTGCTACTCCAACTGTATTTTGCTATGACACATGCACACAAGTTTGAAATTTTCATGCTACTGCAATCAGCTACTCTACACAACAGAACAAAAGTATACACCTCATTTTAAAAAGTAAATAAATAAAGCAAGGAACCATATTATACCTTGACTCATATGCTGCAAGTTCGAGAGGGAACAGTTTGGAAGGGCTTTCCATAAGTATAATACTTCAATGGATGCCAGGACACAGAGCTCTTTGGTTGGCATTTGTTTTCTAAATCTGTCTGCCTGCAAAGCAGAGAGAAAGAGGTAAGTGGAATTTGTCCTTTTATAGGGAACATAATATTCACAAATAGTATTTCACAAACAGTAATTTTAACTGTTTCATAAAGTCACCCAACAATTTTATGAAAATGAGTCCATGGTAACTTAGCTTAAAGACTTTAAGATAACAAAGCACATTTTTTCAACTAAATTAAGGGCTTACATATTGATCCAAATTAAAACTTCCTTGTTTGCAGCCTGACTGGTTTTAATGTATTTCAGTCCCAAGTGCACATTGACTGGATGCTGAAATAGTAACGTCTGCAAGATCATCAGTTGGGAGCTATTTCCTAGACAACTCCCAGCTTTCAAAAACAGCTAAGGCTTTCACAAACAAGACAAGACAAGAAGCAGTAAGAGAAGCAAAGCTAGAAGGAAAATTACCAAAGCAACTACAGTATCACATCTTTTTATCTTTAATAGTTACTTTAGTTGCAAAGTGAAAAGATAATTCACATTTCCTTCGCTAGGTCCTTCAAACACATGACACTTCTTTTTCCACCCTATTCCTTCCCACTAATTCTACAGAAGCAACCCAGCAGAAAACACACGTTCTTCAAAAATAAATACTGATAAAGAATTGAGCCAAGAGTAATTACTGTACCAAAACAAGTCAGTCTATACAAAACCTAACCTTTTTCACTGAAAATTGTTCAATCTGATTATTTTTTCTTTTGAAAAGCTTCTGAACTTCCTTGAACACATTCTGAGCACCGCTGACATCACCGGTAGCTCCTTGACACACTGTAAGAATACAGGAGCAAAAACATGTTAACGCTACTGGGACATGAAACAGGAAAAATTAAGATTAGCTATCATGTGGTCACAGAAAAAAAACCAACACACTCACTTCCAGACAGTACCTGGACTGAAGATTTGACAAACATGAAAATCCCAGGTCCCCCAGGTACGCTCTGTGATCATCAACAAGTCAGTACTACTCTTTTATACCCACTAAAGGAACTAATACCACCAAGCCTCTAAAGATTTGTTTATTAAATATTTGCAATACACTGTTAGGTGACCACACTGACACCCATATCTGTATCTAATCAAGAGGGAGCATGCAAGTGTTCATTATATAAACAACCTTGTCCACGCCAAGCCTGGCACAAAGCTGCATAAGCAGCAGGCAGTGTGAAAGGCACTACATGCACCAGTAAGTTTCCCAAAACAAAACAGTTCCCAAGCCTTATCACATCACTGATTTATCATTTACCCTACATACCAAACGTACTCACCTGCTGTCAAATAAGCATAGTAGCACTGGGACCACCTGGATTCATTTTTAAGCCTTTCAAAGGATTCAAATGCATCTTTGAAGTTCATCTCTATCATGCTGCACCAACCTAAGAGCAAAACTCATTTAGCTTCAGAGAAGTACAGTAATTCAAATTTGGTGTCTACATTATTAAAACAGAGTCTGTTAGGACAGCTGGAGCTAGTTTAACTATTGTAACAGTAACTGGAAAATTAAAACCAAAACAAAGCAGTGACACATTTAAAGCCTGAGAAATTTACTAGGAAACTTTTAGTTACAAGATTCCATACAAAACAATAAATCCACTTCAGAGCAACAACAAATCTATAGATACCAAAAGCTCTCTTTATTTTAAAGTTTAGATACTGAATTTTATAGGATGCTGAAACTTGCAAAGCTACTGCTTGTTCTCTTATTATTTCCCACTGTGACAAGATCCCAGTTAAAGCTTGAAGCAACCTATCTTCTCCACTCTAAAGACCTGTATGCAAATAAAGACCATATAGCATATACTGCTATTGCTAAAAAGAAATGAACATGAAATAAAGATCCTGCAAACTGAGAAGCTTCACAAGACCGATTAGTTTTTAGCACAGAAATGGTGACTCCACAGACAAATCAGATAATTAACTTCTACTTTTAAACAATATCTCCTAGGTGAATAGTTTGTCCTTGAGTCCAGAGTCTACCCTCGGATTTTGCATCACCTTGTATTTGCAGAAAACTTTATTATGAAAAATTGTTGAATTCTACTTGCCAAACAAGAAGATGGGATGTGCTGGTTTGGGCTGAAATGGAGTTAACTTTCTTCACAGTGGCTAATATGGGGCTGTGTCTAGGATTTGTGCAGGGCACAGGGTTGATAATACAGAGATGTTTTTGTTATTGCTGAGCAGAGCTTACACAGAGTCAAGGCCTTTACTGCTTTTCTGTACTGCCACACTGGCAAGGAGGTTGGGGGTGCATGGGAGATGGGAGACTGGGAGGAGACACAGCTGGGACAGGTGACCCAAACTGACCAAAGGGATATTCCATACCATCATGCTCAGTATATAAGGTGGGAGGAAGAAGAAGGAAGAGGGAGAGATGGAGTGATGGTGTTTGTCTTCCCAAGGAACCGTTACACATGATGGGCCCTGCTCTCCTGGAGATGGCTGAACACCTCCTGTCCATGGGAAGCAGTGAATTAATTCCTTGTTTTGCTTTGCTTGTGTGTGCAGCTTTTGCTTTCTCTACTAAACTGTCTCTACCTCAACCCATGAGCTTTCCTAGCTTTTAGCCTTCAGATTCTCTCTCCCACCCCGTTGGTGGGGAAGTGTGTGAATGGCTGTGTGGTTCTTGGCTGCTGGCTGGGGTTAAACCAAGACACAGGATTATTACCATAATCCATCCAAGAGAAATGCCAGTATTCTAAAACCTTTTTTAAAACCCTAATGAGAAGAATTCAGTTTGCTTATTGAAGTTGCTAGTCTAGACATGAAAGTGAGATATTTATAGGGTAAACATAGTCAACCTACCTATTTCATATAAACAGACATGTTGGATCTCCCTTTGGTCTGTTGCAAGTTCCAAAGCAGTATGAAACGAGGTCAAGGCACTGTTAATTTGACACTAACAAAAGCAAAAGAAGAAAAAAAATATTCAGGTGTCTGAAATTTAACATTTGTTGGCTAATTTGATTCACATTTCTGTTAATAGGTAATTAAACAAGCTACAGTAGAGGAGATTAAGAATGTACTAACAGCCAGTTCAGACCATCTCTCATTAAAAATCAGTGACTCTATTCTTTTTATTTGCTATTAAGTCTGAAATTCCTTAGCTGGTGCAGTAAACTTTAGAGTAATCTCATTTCCACTCTTACTAGTCATTTCACCATTATACGTCCTATTTTTAGCACCAGCTAATTAAGTTTAGCTTTTTGCACAATAAGGATACTTTTAGTTTGATTTTATTTTGAACATTTCACTTTTTCCCACATCTGTCACCACTTTAAGCAACAGTTAATAGGAATTCATAAATGCTGCATGACATGTAAAAAGATAGAAAGGTTTATGAGAGAAAAAACAAATTAGTTCACAATAAATTAGCAAAAAGAGGCTGACACACTTCCAAGAACTAGAATGATAGCTCTTTTGACTACCATAATGTCTAGTTTGCCCAGTCAAGGATGGGACTTCTCCATACCTATCATTATGGTGAACGCAAATCAAAGATTTAGTTAGTTGTATACAAACTAAATATTCCAACATGGCCTCTACCTGCTTTAACAATGTTCCTACATTTATTCTCACATACAGTAATTCCTACAACAGAAGAATTTTTATGCCACTCTCAGCTGACTAAGCATGTAAGTGAAAGAAACCCTTGAAAATGCAAACCACCTACACCAGTGTAACTGAATTAAAAAATTCCTGCAGAAATCTGCAGCATTGTGTCTTAAGTACACACACACACAGAGCTCTGACCTGATTTTATTAGGTTTTCTCCTTTGTTTGGTCAGGGAAAACTGTTGTAGTTGCTAAGGAACAATTTAACCATAAATAATAGATACTGCATCAAGACAGCACAACTGCCAGCGAAGGGGTCTACAGCTGTACCAACATAAACACTGAACACTCAGAAAATACAGCTGTAATTAAGCTAAGATGCTTGCTGGCAAGGCAGAAGAATACCCTGCACAGAAAGACAGGTGAGTTATATTTGCCCTCAAAATTACCAGGGAGCCTGAGCCAGGTACACCTTGTTTACTTTTGTAGCAGCACATTCTCTCCACTACACATTTCTCCACTGATGCTCCATCACCCCAGCACAACTTCCTTGAAAACAACTATTCTGAGCCCAGCCTTACAGAAAATAATAAAATAAAATAATGTCAGCTTAGCACTTTCTCTTTGTGCTAGGAAATTGAGGAGTGCAGTGAATCTCTGTTTTGGATGCTTCTGAGGAAAAAAACAAACCTAAACATTTATTCCTCCAGGAAGATACTTTGCTTTCTAAAAACCTAAACATTCTAAAATATAAATCACTTATTCGTAGGACACACTATTCCACACACTGACTAATGGCAATTAAATCACTGTCTGCAATGCCATACACCAGCCTGGGGTAGCACACGAAACACCAATTGCTTAGCAATATGCAAGTCCAGTTTGTTGAATATCCAGTCTTCTGTAATCCATCCCTCTGTCTAAATCTCACAAGTGTTTTGACATCTGCCTAAGTTTTCCTTCATCATCAAATCTCAGCAAAGCATGTTTCAGAGACATTCCTAAACAATTAAAGTTTCAATCATCTCCAGGGATTGTGACAATAGGCTGGAATAGGAACTTCAACTCTTAGTGTTAATTCTTAAATTAATTACTATCCATTTACTGTTTCAAAGAATAAACAGATTTTAAAGTCACAAGAGTCTACAAGGATAACATCATGGCTGACAGCTGAAATTGAAGTTCTTGAGATTTAAAAATACATATACACACACTTGTAATTCTTTCAAAAGGCATCACTCATGCCTCTCTTGGGCATAATAAAAAGACAAAAAAAGATTAATCCATAGAATGTGTAATATACAGAACTACATAGCCATAAAGAGGATTATGCAAGCTCATGTGAGAACCCTAATCTTACATTTCTTGACTCCAGTTTAAAACTAAAAGCAACCCAACCCACCAAATAAGCATATACAGGGCTTAGTAAGCCAAGGCAGCTTCCCAAACTGGCACACATGTCCCCACAGAGTTGTTCTGAAATCTCAGGACACTTTTCCTCACCCAGACTGTCTCTATTCTCAATCAGCTCTATGAATCTGTAAAGCTTTTAAGAAGTCATGCTCATAATTAAGGCGAAACCAGAAAGCAATCTAAAAGGTTACAATTTATGCCAGAGGACACTTATATGGACATTTCATAGCCTGTATTTTCTATTCCTTACCATACACACACACACACATTTTTCCTCAGACATATCACAAAACCAAAATAGAATAAAACTAGGCGACTGCATTTTACAGCCTAGAACAAGTAACTAGAAAAAACAGCACAATTTCAGAAAATAAAGCTTGACATTAGGCAAGCTCTGAAAATTTCATAAGACATCACCGGGACTTTCTTCCAAAAAGTTCATATAAGACTTTTCAGTGCTTAGTATTACTTGCCCTCAGTCTGCTTTTCCATACCACACTCTCTCTTGCCCTAAATAAGAATGATACCACTGATACCAAAGTGTCTACAAAAGGTAATATAACAGCAAGAGTACTTTTCAGTGCTACTCTTAAGCACACAATCCCACTGCACATTTTCAGCAGCCTGCACGTGCAACACACTTTAGCACACCTGAATGTACCATTAGTGCTTTGCCCATCACATGGAGCATTTGGTACTTTTTCCTTCAGGCTCTTTACATGCAGCTATACTAACCAAACTCTACAGACCAAGCCACAGAACCCAAGTTTCTTATTCCAGCCACAGAGATTTCTTGGTTGTTTATGTATACACACCCAGAGTCTGTTCCTAATTAATAAGAAACTATCTTGCCCAGTTCATGACTTTGTCAAATGCTTTACCTTTGCTTTATACCCTTACTGCTCCCACATGAAGCTAGCTAACTATTTGAGTGGGGTGACTGTATTATCTAAGAAAAAGGCAGACAGATTTTAAATAGTGTTGCTGATTAGGAAAAAAGAAACAAAATTGCAAGCTGAAAAGCAGAAATAGCTAAGACCCAGAACACCACTTCTCACTGTCCTCTCCCATGTTACCACCATGCCCATCGTTCAGGACTGCCCACAATACCACACTTGAATAGTCCAAGTCACAGTTTCAAAAGTAAATTGGTATTTGTTAAAATGGTTACAGTATTAGATAATACACATTTAGAAAATGGATGGCAATAGTTTTACTTTCACAGTAACAAGAAATGCCCAATGATACAGCCAGAAACTCCAGACTTCAGACCAGTGGGTTTCAGCAGTCATTATATCAATTACACCTTTTGCACCCTTTAGGTCTACATATAAAACACTATTCCCAATTGTTTGTAGTAGCTTAAGCATACAGGAAACATCATTAGCAGCTTTAGCTGAAAGTGTTTCCAAGACAGAAATTGTCAGACACCCACAAAGAAATATTTGTGAGGCTGGAATACCTACCACACAATCACAAATCAAGCATAGCAATAGTTCTGTCCATAAAAGCAGCTTAGTGAAGTATGTAAAAGTCAGGAAAAAATGCTACTTTTAATACACAGACTCTTAATCTACTCTTTGAAAAAAAGAGACATTTGATCAGCCTACCAGAGCAACCTTTAACTTTCTGGTGCACTTTCATTCCAGCTTTCCCAGATCATCCTCCTCTCCATTCCCTTAACTCACTCATTTCAATAGTGTCTAAATGTGTTCAGACTTCATTTCTCAACAATGTGGATTGGGAAAAAAAGCTGACAGACAATTTGCTCCACATTTATAGTACCCGTACAGCTACTTGTTCAAAAACTGAAGTATGTTAAGGCTTTTATTGCATGCTTTTGGTGCACAAAGCATTATACAGTCCCATGCTCTTCGTTTGTCTTTCAGACATAGCTCTGTCACTGTGAAATCTTCTTGACTGCCTTCCTTGCCAATTTTCTCCCTTGTCAGATTTGGGTCTCACTGTCCGGTCTTGCATTACGGTTTCTGCCTTTTGAACAGATTCCCTGTCTCCAGGTGTCCATGGCTGAACTATGAGCCTTACTGTTTCTTTTCTTCATAGAAAATTAAAAATACATGCAGATACGTAGGCATATGTGGACTTCCTAATGGAAGCTGAATATGCCATCAGCTGAAGGTTACACATAGCATGCAGGATCAAAGGCTACAGAAAAATTTGATGGACTGAGATGGCCCTCATACAAAGCCTACAACCACAAATGGAACACCTAAGTACTTCTGTGTAACATCCAAGCTGCCTTTTATCTACATACTACTAAATTTTAACACAGAACTGTTACAAGATTATAGATATTAAAGACTAAAATATACAAACTTCAGCTCAAGGTATACATTTTAGTGCACACAGGTTAAAACAAAAACTTCCCAATTTCAGTAAGCCACCTGAAATAACATTGCCATGCTCAGTGGAAAGAATTTAAGGCTATCTGTGCATCAACAGTTTCAAGGAAGGCCATATAAGCACTTCCTGGGTTTTGCAGGAACTCTCCTCACCCACCTTGGAAATGAGGAGGAAATTACAACTCAGCACATTAGTCTGTAATCTAAAGGTATATGCACACTTCGGGTTCAGAATCACATTGAATCACGGCACCATCTAGGTTGAAAAAGACCTTCAAGATCATTGAGTCCACCCTTTGACCAATCACCACCATGGCAATTACATCATGGCACTAAGTGCCACCTCCCGTCATGTCTTGAACACCTCCAGGGTCGATGACTCCACCATCTCCCCAGGCAGTTCGTTCCAATGCTTGATAACCTTTTCTATGAAGAAATTATTCCTGATGTCCAGCCTGAACCTCCCCTGGCACAGCTTGAGGCTATGTCCTCTTGTTCTGTCACTAGCTGCCTGGAAGAAGAGGTTGACCCCCACCTGGCTATAATCTCCTTTCAAGTATTTGTAGAGAGCAATAAGGTCTTCCCTGAGCCTCCTTGGCTCCAGACTAAACAATCCTAGCTCCCTCAGCTGCTCCTCATAGGACATGTGCTCCAGACCCTTCACCATCTTTATTGCCCTTGTCTGGACTCATTCCAGCACCTCAGTATCTTTCTTGAAGTGAGGGGCCTAGAACCGGACACAGTACTCGAGGTGTGACCTCACCAGGGCTGAGTACAGAGGGACAATTACTTCCCTGGTCCTGCTGGCCACACTAACATACAACATTCAATGCCAGACCAATGCTCAGATTCAAGACATGTAACCACAAGTGTATTGTGCAGAAACCCAGTGCAGCTGCCCATACCATTGCCACCAGTCACATACCTGCCTTTGCTATGATGTCAACAGCATTTAAGCAAATTAAGCTTGTAAATTCCTAACAAAATCTACAGAATAGCCCAAGACATTTAATCAAAACATTCAGACACAGCAAAACCTCCCTGATGCAGCACCACTTGGAACAAAGCAATGATGGAGGAGGGGGAAGGGGCTGCTGAATGGAAAATCTCTCATGCGAACACACACATGAATAGCAAAGGGACATTTTAATTCCAGTTAGCTACCAATAAGCTTTGTGCTGACTAAGGGTATGGCTACACAGCATAATGCACAGCATTCTGCCTGCCTAAGCTAACTAACTTCATTAGCGTGGCCATGCTGTCTCTGGCACAAACTGTTCCACTTGGACCTAAACTTCAGTATCTATATATTGCATCACTTAATAAACAAAAAATACTCTAAGATTACATTTACAGAACTCTCCTTTGAAACACAACAGTACTCCAGAAAGGGACTGACTACACAAAACTGACACTTATACCAAACACACAGAAACATATACTCAGTTTATTAACAGCTTATGTTGACACTTTTGCCCTACCTTGCCAAGAAAGCCAGAATAATTGATTGAATTTTATTCTTCATTACACTAAAATACCAAGTCAAACCCTGGCAATCAATGTACTTACATTTTTAACTGCATTTGCATTCATTGTCTAGCTATTCCCAACAAATTTGATTTTCACCACCAAAATGTAAGTATCCATATCATAGTAAGTGTCCATATCCCTATGAATATATCCATATAATAATAAATATCCATATAATTAAGCAAAGACCACTTTCCATATTTCCCAAAGACTGACAGCTTGCCTGTGACAATGTCATTCCCCCAATCCACTGTTGCTTTCAAAAGGACAGCAAAAAAAGAAAACATCCAAATCCCATGCAAGAATAGGCCTGCAAAATCTGATAGGCCACTGAAGGCTGCTCATCTCTTCGGTTACAGCTGCTACCTCCCTCAAAATACGAGGCTGTATTTGAAAGAGTTAACTGCAAACCCTAGCAAAGAATGACCACCAATATTAAGATCTTGATTACCTCTTGTAATTATGATGTTGAGATGAAGGGTTCGTGCCTTTGTCTTAGGTTTCCTGATTAATGTAATTGCTCCAAAAATACTCTGGTCTGACAAAAGTAGCAGCTAGGAGTGGAGTAGTTAGAAAAATTCACCTTGTATTATCACATATTCTTAGAGAATAATTCAGCCAAAACCCACGAGGCTGTTGCAGTGTTTGAATAACACTCTGCAATGGCATTCACAAACACATTTTCAGTGAACACATTTCTGCTTGGGTCAGAGCTCACCCTTAGCAACAGAGAACATCCTGGTTTGACCTCTTAAAAGCAAAGGCAGCCATTTAAGGGAAATTACTGCAGGGAATTAGCTGTATATAAAAAAACGCATAAAACCAAAAGAGGAAGATAAACGCTATGTACTCAGCAGGTAATAACATTTTAGCTTGACAAGCAAAACTGAAATAGCTCAAAAAACTCCTGAGTGACCAAAAGCACTTCCTTCTAGCACAGAGCCACAAACATATCAAGTAGCTGAAAAAGAATTTGAACGCCATGAATTCAGATAGATGTAGCGCAGGAGCAGCTTCTGCATGTGAATTTGAAACTAGGAAGGAGTTAATCTGTTCTTCTAACTTATCTTTCCATGCATCTGCATCTTTAATCACAATCTGCTGAAGCTTGCACAGTTCATTCACATCAGAAAAAAGCCATAAAATAACACAGGGTGGGGAGAAGATATCAGTCTCAAGGATGAAAATATGCAATACCTCTAGTCGCTGTATCCTTCCCTTGAAGAACATGAACAGAGAAGAATTTGGATAAGCAGATTCTTTCTTTGCAAGAATTTCTTTTGCCTCTTTCAATCCTGCCTTGTTATCACTGCCATCAAGGGCAAAAAAGGGACGAACAACTGTGTGGTACCACAGCAGAGCTAATCTAAAAGAAATGTAAAGAGTAGAAAGGATTACAGCTTGTAAATAGAAATAAGGATAATGTTCTACACAGACAAACCTTCTTATTATTCTGAAAGACAAAGATAGATATGAATCTTTTACTACAAAATCTGGCTTTAAAACAAACACACTACTACTGCCATAGATCAACATACTCCTAACCTGCACCTGAACATACAACTCAGTGCACATTACCCAAAGGCAAAGTAACAATCAAGCTCATAGCATCAAAGCACTCCAGCCTTTAGAACTCTGTAGACTTTTTTAAAAACAGAAAAACCCACAGGAAAACTTTGAAAAGTAATTGTTCATTAGAGGGGAAACAAAAAAATAAACCAACCAACCACCCAAAACCCAACAAACAAACCAACAAAAGAACTACAGACACATCAGCAGACACACTTGAAATCACTGCCAAAAAGAAATACATTCTGTGTTCAGGAGGGCAGACATCTACATGACCTACATTGCTCCTGGAAACAAGGGCAGAGCACAAAGATTTCCAAGACTATCTGAAGGAGGAAATGTTCCCAAAAATATAATTTCTCTTCCCCAGAAAGGAGAAAGCACAAATCAACAGGAACATTTAATCTAGCAATCAGAAATCCAATTCTTCTCCTGAAGCAGGAGAGAGTTTAGCTCTGCTGTCAATGCTTCAAAAGTCACATCTGATGGTACCTGCAATAGGTCCAGTAATAAAAGCATTGATTTGTAGATAATGGAATAATAAACTCATTTACGAGGGCAGTTTAGATTGGGTCTGGCTAACCCTTCACCTCTTAAAAATACCTGGATGCAGTATGAAGCCTTGGGAAAAAAGAGTACCCAAAAAATGCTCCTCTAAAAAGACAAGGAACATCTCGTTTTACTGACATGCTAAAATAAAATTTCAAAACAATGGAAAATAAATTGTGCTAATAGTAAGTAAAAATAGCTAAAGGAATCATAGAATTTAGGGGTTGGAATGCACCTTACAGATCATCTAGTCCCAACCCCCTGCCAGGGTCAGGGACACTCCTCACTAGACCAGGTTGCTCAAGGCTTCATCCAACCTGGTCTTGAACACTGCCAGGGTTGGGGCAGCCACCACATCCCTGGGCAACCTGTTCCAATGTCTCACCATCCTTAGAGTAAAAATCCTTTTTCTCACATCCAGCCTAGACTTTCCCTCTTTCAGTTTGAACCCAGTGAGATCAATGACTCTACAAAATAGTATAGCATCCATAGCAGAGAATATAAGTAAATTTAC